TGTCAATATTAAAAATAAAATTAACAAATAATTCAAATATCATATAATAGTAATAATATTAATATTGTGGCGGATTCGGCCAAGCAGTCTCAGTCTAGTCTAAGTCCTGCGTAAGTAAGTCTGTCGGACACGCCGTCAGGTAATACGGATCGACTATTGAATAAACTTCAAACAAAATTAACTGAGTTTCTCATAGCATTTATTGGGTCAATAAAACTGGTACCATTATCAACAACAAATACAATGTCATATATGCGGAGCACACAGCAGCCACCGACCGGTTCCCGTTAACAACGGAATTAAACTATAAGTAGGCCTGTCCCTTACTGGGCTCTCAAGTCTTAATGACTGAGTTCGACTATAAACTATTTTATAGAATTACTACAGGTCCTACCTTACTAAACACTAACGTCGGGATTTCCCAGTTCTAAACTTCATGAGATCCAGAGCTCAACTACCCCATGTCCTGGGCGATGGGTCTTAAGATCCCAACCCAGCTATTTTTAGATAGCCAATCGGCTCCCAGCATTGGGGAGTGGCCTAATCTATTTATAATAGGGGGGTGGACTGCACCATTTTGTTACACTATCTATAATAATATTATTAATAATAATATTCTTAACAATATTAATAGCAATAAATAAAAACTGAAATATAAAAATAATTAGAGTAAAAATATAACCTATATATTAAAATAACAGCTCGAAGGTAAGCTTACCATGCATGGCTGCTTCATGTAAAGGTGTAGAATTGGCCTGTTGCGGATTGGTTTGACCTCCTGATTCTAGAAGAACCTTTACACACTCTATATGTCCATTCATGCTGGCTTCAAACAGTGGTGTTCTACCTTCATGGTACTCTTGGGGGTTGATCTATAGGGGGAAAAAACAGTTGTGAATTAATCAAACAACTAGCCAATCAGCTTTTCTCAAGGTATATCTTTAAGGATGGAACAGAAGACTTACCCAGGCACCAGAAGAAATAAGTTTGCGTGCACAGTACACATGTCCCGTACTGCAAGCATCATGGAGTGGAGTAATCCCATCAATAGTGAGCGTGTTCACGCAATCTCCACGTGTGAGCAGTGCATGTAATACAAGGAGTTGACCCCGACTGGCTGCGTAATGTAGGGATGAACGATCCAATGTTTCTGGAATGTAAACAATTTGAAAAAAAAAAACAACACTGAATGACAAATCACCACTGGAATATTTCAAAACAAAATAGTTAAAATTAAACCATAACATTTGTAACCTGAATAAAAAAAAATTATTTGTTATTCATATTGCATAAATTTATTCACCAAGGCATTACATAATACAAATACAGTACATGTATTATTTGTTCCTAAAAAAATTATTACTTTAATAGAAAATTTTACTTACCGTCATATGCCTGTGCTGCCTGTGCAGCACACATGACTTTTGTTGCCTTTTCTAAAAGTAGTATTTAAAATTTTATAAATCCTTTCACTTCGGTAACAATTCATCTGTAAGATAATTGAATAGTAATGACCGGTTTTCATTTCACATGTATGGACTAGCTATCCCGGACATGACAGCCTTTAGATTTGTTAATTAAGGTTCGAGTCCTCTAACTAATCACAAACTCATCAAAGCACTATGCCTGTGTATCCTGGACGAATTCGATCCAACTCGGCCACAAGTCAACTCGGCCACAGTCAACTCGGCCACAAGTCAACTCG